GTTTCCCAGGGCCGCACTGTTCTGCACTTGATTGTCTCAATCCAAGTCTTTGCTGTCAGCCAGAGCCAGCCTACACTCCTTCCTCCCTTCTTGTTGGTTTTCCCACCCACAGAGATGGCGTCGAGGTTTACCACGCCACACAAGATTGTGGTACTGGGTGATGGTGGTGTTGGCAAGACTGCCCTCACCATTCAATTGTGTCTGCAGCACTTTATCGAAACTGTGAGTTGTTCTCGCCTTCGTGGCCTTCTCCTTTTAGCTGTACTCGTTGGCCCTCTCCCACCCGCTCCAGTTCGCTCGAGGCCGTAGCTATTGCACATTCACAAAGCCTGTTACAGCGTCTCATGCCAAGAGTCTGCAATGGCTGTTTTGGCTGTAGCACATGATCTCCCTAGCATGGGCAAATGCCTGCCTTAGCTTGAGCCCTGAACTCGCTAACACATTATGTATCACACAGTATGACCCAACGATCGAAGATTCATACCGCAAACAAGTCGTTATCGATGGCCAAGCATGCATGCTGGAAGTCCTCGACACTGCTGGACAAGAAGAATACACCGCTCTGCGCGACCAATGGATCCGAGACGGTGAAGGATTTGTCCTGGTCTACAGCATCTCATCCCGATCTTCCTTTTCGCGCATCAAGCGGTTTCACCACCAGATTCAGAGAGTCAAGGAATCCACAGGTGGCTCGCCATCTTATCCCGGTTCGCCAATCTCCGCCGCTTCTGGCCAAATCAACGTGCCTATCATGCTCGTTGGCAACAAGAGCGACCGAGTCACGGAGCGCGAAGTGTCAACACAAGAAGGCCATTCCCTAGCTCGTGAGCTGGGTTGCGAATTTGTCGAAGCCTCGGCAAAGAACTGTATCAATGTGGAAAAGGCCTTCTTTGATGTGGTCAGAATAATAAGACGGCAGAATGCGGGCGCGTACGGCTCAGGCCCTTCCAGGTCTGCCAACGGCACCGCTCAAGGTCGCCGCGACACTGTGGCCGAAAATAGCCGATACAGAAGAAAGAGCGATCGAAAGTGTGTCATATTATGAGTGCGCCACTTACTCGATTTTGGGATCCTCGTGTCCTCTGCTTCCCGGACCGCCTTGCGCGCCGCTCAATACAAGACAAATTGGACATATGCAGGCACGTAAAGGTCCTGCACCCGCAGCAGCCTCAATCTCCAATCACCCACGGCTTCGCCTTTTTGGACACGGGTGACCTGGGCTGTGTCTACTCGGCGTCCATCTACCTAGCCTACGCGCTTCATCCTGGCAACTAAGCATCACGCCTGGTGGCAGATGACTTCTCTCGATCAGGCAAACAGCGTGCGGCATTAAAGAAGAAAACGGAGCATAAAAAATTGGAGGGACTGTGGGATCACGGACAAGGCGTCAGGTTGGGGTGCCGGTCATTACTTGACCCAGGAGCAAATGATTGGAATATACCAAGGTACCTACGTGGTGATTTGGAAAACGGCAGGGCTATTGTGTTTATCGGAGTCTTGGTGTTGAGCATTCTCATCCTGCTATTTGATGCGTGCATGATTTGGAGAGCGGACTGGTCTTGAGGAGGCAAGGCCTGGAGGTCAAAGCGGTGCCGGATCACACAAGACTGTCTGCTATGTTCTGGGAGAATCTGTAAAGTCTCTTTGATCAGCAGTCAACTATACCGCTTGCCCGCGCAGGACAAGCTCTGCTATTTCCCTCCAGTCGATACCATGTCGATCTTGCTCCAGTAGGGGTTGCAGCACAGCGTGTGTTCTTGGCACGCCAATGATCTGAGGGCTCGGGGGTTGCAGCGAGCCTGCCATGCCACTTCGAAACACCCCGTCACTGCGGCTGCTTGGTCTGGGGCAAATCGGACTTTTATTTCAAGGCAATACTGAATAGATCGTTCCCATCAGGAAACATGCCTCCACATTTAAAAGATGGCCGTTGGGTTCTTATCAGCACTACCTAGTTTTTGTATCGTTTCTGCATACCTCGACGCGACGAATTTCACGCTTCTGAGGATTTTCACTTGTATTCAGCAGGAGTAGGCAATAAATACGCACAGTTTACGAATGCTACAACTTGGAGACTACTCAAGGCAATTCCAACCCAGCGCAAACTTATAATTATATAAAAGTAGTTATAGACCTGGATGCAATGACTTGTAGACAATGCATGTATTACCTTGGGATGGGAATCGTGATGATTTAGAGATAGCAATCTTTATATTCTAGATCTGTTAAGTCACCTACGCGCTCGTATCTTCAAGTCAGCAAGCAAGAGTCAAATAACTTGTTCTCTTTCTTCCCTATAGGGGTTATTATTATCTTGTTCTCGCCACTGACCAATATATCTCCACTATTGGTTAGCAGGCGCCGCAGGCCTGAATTGGGACAATAGGATAAGCAAGTTACATGCTGCATTCCTAGGAACGAGAGACCAACTGAACCTCTATTGAGCTATAACTCAGCTAGGCACATCGGAAAGATAGAGTTGAAGGTGGGTTGGGATTTGTATAGGCTGTTGGTATGGATGAAAATGGAAAGGTAGAGGTTAATCGGTTGGTTTGCTGTTGAGTATTTGTTAAAGGAGTATTTGTCAGGGGTGTGGAGGAGATATGATTGGGTTCTCTTGGACAGCAGCGCTAAGGCAAAGCGTATGAGTAATACTAAACCTATTTTGTATTTTGGGCTGGTAAAATACAAGGAGGAATTCCAATTACGAAGGTTCCTACCTCAATATTATGCGGCATTGTTATACAATTATAGTACTAATATATTGAAGCTACTCGCCCAAGATATCCAGCTGATTTCGCAGTAGTGCAAGAACGATTAACAGTATAAACGAAGTGTACAAGCTGAGGTTTGCTTGCATTAAGGATGCAATTTCATTAATAAAGGTGCCCAGAAAAAACAAAATAATGATTGCATGATTTTCCCTTGTTGAGCCTAGCTTCAGCTAGTAGCCCAAGTACTACTCTGCCCTGCCCAGCTTTCAGCGGCTTGCTCTGGGCGTTGCTGGATATACATGGTGGAGTGTAGAGTAGTGTGTCGCGGCGGGCGTCAAATGCTGCTTGGTTGCCTGTGCTTGAACTAGACGGCCCCACAGCGCGGGGTTCAGGGAGGCTGTGATGTGGTGGTTCGTTGGCCTATCTAGATGTGGATATTGTCCTGGAATCCCTGGGGTGGCCTGCACATCTTGATTTGAGAATGGATGGATGGATATCATTGAGTGACGTGCGATACCTGGGGTGGGTTTCAAAGCGAGAGTATGTGATGAATACGTATTGCTGCGTAGCAACGTTAAGTGGTTGCATGAAATGGGGCAGGACAGATGGATGCGTTTGGCGCGTGAGAGGCCGTGTGCATATATGCTTATTCTGTTGCTTCCAAGGTTTCTGTGAGTCGGTGTGCCTAACGATGCTTGTACATTGTGGAGATGTGAAGCGTTTGTAGCAAGAATTGCTTTGTTGAAGATCTTTTGCCTGCTTTACATTCGAGAATTCTCTTGGATGACCTCTGGATGTACATCGTGTAACATTCGAAGCTGCTGTACTAGAGACGAGTACTCCATAATTCGATCCGGCTGCCGGGCTGGATCCCAAGACCCTGTACAGTATATCTGACACATAAAGCTGAACCTGACAAAAGAGAAAAGGCACTATTTTTCAGCAGAAAACACCCTGGAGAAAAAGCTGGAGCCCAAGCACTTTTGGGAAAAGGAGGCTATTGTTTTGTCAGGTGGTGCCAAGAACCTAGTGGTCCAGCCCGAATCGAGCACGGACGGTTCTAGGAACGAGTCCAGTCTAGGCATAAAATGGGACTGTGTATACAGTAAGGGCTGGGAATATTGCTGTCTAAATTTACTGGTGTCCGTGGTACTGCGTGTAAGTGATGTTTGATAGTCAATGCATTAGGTAACCTGGTAGCGTGAACCTGAGAGGATGCTGCGGTGTGTATTTGCGGCTGCACACCCCTTGTTTGGAATTATATGATACGGGAGGGGGAATGGAACGGGATCTTGGAGTCAAAGAACGGTGATGCTACATTAAGAAACCCCACGTGGGGATGGTAAGGCAAAGTCAACCTCAGGTCGCCGTCTGGGGTGCAATGGTACGACGATGATTATTCTAGATGTACATACTCTAGGAGCAATCTCGGGCATCATTTTCGTGCAATTTATTCTTCAACCTGTTCAGTATGGCTGCTATGTACCTATTTATTCCATGTCTCTGGCCGCCCTTTGAGGTGACATGCCGGCGAGCCACCATCTACAACTTGACTGGCATGATGTGATTTGCTTCAAGTACACAGATACACTGGGTAGGATGAGTCTCGGCCCAACATGTGGTATTTGATGCACTGCTACCGCAAGCAAACGCGCAGTAGGACCCCCACGCAAACAGAAAAATCTTCAAAGCCACTCTAGACACAGCCCACCATATCTCTGGGTTGACGTTCCAGGATCCTAGATGGTCCACATGATTTCCCATTGGGAAGGTGAGATGTCTACTGGGCTCGCGATTCTTGCTTCCTTCGCAACTAGCTGCATATATCCAGAATGCGGGGAGGAGGGGCTAGGAGGAGATTTCACGTCGCCGATCGAGGCGTGAACGCGGCAGCTAAAACTCGGCTTTTTGCACGACGGTGTACAGCATCGCATCGGGCTTCCCATCCCAAGGCAGAAAGGGAGGCCGATGGGAAGGGCCAGTAGGTTCATCTCTTTTGGTTGTCTTTATACGAGCCGCTGCTGAGCCGCAGCGAGTAGCAGACGAGAGGCACAGGCTAGTTCGTGGACAGTACGACCGCAGCGAAATACAGAAAAGTACATGAGCAAGGCCGTGATCCAGATTCGCAACACTTCCGTAGACGCCGGCGCAAGCAGCCGGGGATACCGGACCCGAGCCAGTAGTGGGTCGTCCGGAGGGCCGGCGGGCAAGAAAAAACAAGCAGAAAAACTTTACGAAAGCCAAATACAATATAAAGTATTTTTCATCAGTGAAAAATAACTGATCGGTTGTGTAGTGTAGTGGTTATCACTCCGGATTTTGATATGACTCATCAGCACTTCCGGCAACTGCGGTTCGAATCCGCGCACGACCTGATGTTTTGCCTTTTTATACATTGTACCTAACATCACGCGCTACTATGTAATGATGAGAGTTCTATTCACATAAATGATGTGCCAAATTGTGTTTTTTTTGTCTTTCTTTTTTACCTCCTCCACATCTCGTGTACTCGCCTGTCCTTTACTATGTACCATACTTTATCGCGGGCTACGCATGTTGCCTTGATGCATGACACCAGGGTCTTCGTGCCGTTCACCGTGCTTCCCTCTTTGCTGCCAACACAAAGTTACAGAATATGCGTATAAAATCAGCGCGAGAAGCAAGATCTGAGAAAAGCAGTTCCGCCGGGCCTCGGACTACTCAGCCGGGCAAGTCCCCTTGCCGCCTCTTGCAGCGGGCGTCAATTCTTTAGGTGCAGGACCGGCACTGCATACGTGCGTGCATGTATCTGTCACATCCATGACCTTTGCTGACGTTCTTTTGGCAAACAAATGCACGCCGACGTGGTTTCGCAGAAAGAAATTGTCGTGTACTCACTCGATGACCCCCAAAGAGAAAGGCACTAGGGGCGGGGGAGGGGGGCTTGCAAGCCCGAAAGTCAATGAACCAATTGACCAATGATTTCAAAACGGACAGACGGACGAGCAGAAAGTTGAGATGTCAACCGTTGAGGGGACGTGTGTTTTTGGTAAATTTTCTGGTGTGCAATACTACATTGTGTTGGGGCTTATGATGCGGCCGTGGCTGCTTCTGTGCTTGGTAACTTGCCTCCCCGTGAGCAAACACACATGCGTGATGTGATTAGTACTATGATGCTATCATGCGTCAACAACTCCGAATCACTAATTGGGCGTGGTTTTCAACTGCAGGTAAGTATTGACGCGCCTGTCTCTACCCTTTCTCGGCCATGCTCCACGAACATGATCATAATGAGAAACGAGGCCATACCCCCAAAGACCAGCCACTCCTGTTCTACACGGCCTAAGATGGCACTCTTGCTATCCTTTTTCAGATAGTGTTCGTATTGAATGAATGTATTCGAAGATCTGCTGTGCTGTGTATATCAGCCCATGAGGATGGGTCGATATGTCTCGTAGTGTAGACAGGATCCAAAAGGACGCAAGGGTTAACCTCGGCACTGCCGCACCGCACTGCTCTGGCAAATACTATTAGACTTCAGACTGGACCAGATTATCCATTGATGAGATGACCTCTCATTTCATCACTAGATTTCGGTTCAAGTGGAGCTTCATCTGGCCAACCGTACGTAGACCGCGTCCCGGGTCTCGATGCGCCTCGCCTCCGTCCTGCGGACAACGACAAACAATGTTAGAAACTAACCCAGTCCTGACATTAATTACTCTTGATTGGTGCATCTTCAATTCCATGCATTCATTTCCAAGTAATATAACTTGTTGTTCACCGAGGAGTCTTCTGTGCGTAGTAATACTACTGATGCTCTCTTCTCTCCTTGTCGAGGCATTGTCTGCGTGCCTTGGTGCATTCGGGTGACACTGGTGGTTGCGATAAATAACCAACAACCCAGTTCAACAACGTAGAATAGCAGATCAAGAATATGCCGATACTTTCCGCACATCTCCAAACGCACACTACACTATAAGAATGCAACCCTACCTCCAGCCCCCCAGCCTGGCTGATGTATCGGACATGTGATCTGCCTCAGCTCGTACCAGCCTTGCCCCTTCCAAGGGCAACGAAGTACCAGAAGTGTATGTGGTTTCCTCCGTATCGAATGTTTGGTTGAAAATTGGACATATCTCGGGAGTTCTAAATGGCCACACACTTTCAACAGAACAACAAACACACCAAAAGTGCTGCAAAGTACCAGCGTCGTGGGCACAGTGTAACATAGCTCCCTCACCTTACACATGGTCTACATCATTAGACCCCCTGATCGAGTTGCCCGTCACGGACGCCGTTTCCGTCCTTACATACAATGCAAAACACGTACATCATCATCCTCCACCTCCTCCTCCGTCCGCGACTCGTCCGCGCGGCAAGAATTCAACATCACACCCCCAATTGTCCAATCTCAAAGTACGAACATGCTACATCCTCGTGACGTTGGAAGTCACTGCATTACATGTGTGCGCTCTGTATATCTTCGAGATTGGTCGTATTGGTGCTGATTTGTAAAGCTCAGAAGGCCCACACTAAAATCCTCGGGAATCTAAAATACCAAATCATTGGAAGATTTCCCAACAAGTCTACTCGGACTGTGCGAAATAATTTCACAGAATGTCGACATTGCCAGTCATTAGACACTGCCTACGTGGCACGTACGTCCCGATATATGTATGTCTAAGGATGAGATCGTGCTTGATTTCAACTGCAAAATACGGTTCTGGGCAATGCGTCTATTTTCTCGATGATACTGATCACCATCTATGTTGCTCAATCCGGAGGCTCAAGTCTTTCGTACATGTTGCCTCGGAGCAGGCCGGTCATTACGGCTAGCAACCGCCCTAGGTCCTCATACTGAGCTTTCAGCCCTCCGCACTGTAGATATCATCCTATACGTAATCTCCAGGGCTAAGGCCGAGTGAATGAGAGCCAACTGACTTTGTCCCTCCTTGCTTGTTACTTTGTGCACAAATTCTACACTTGTCGCCGTGCTTCTGTAGTGGCCTGGCATCTCGAGTCACTGTGCTGGCCGGAGACTCCGCGAAGGGTCGACGTGACAATCGGAACGTAGTTCCCTCGCCTCTAAATATTTGCCATTTTCTCTTGCGGGTTGTGGCATCTGAAGGGCGTTGAGCGTTTCCGCCCAGGGCATGACCCCAGACAGAAAGATACTCCCCGCCACGATCATCAGACTCTTCGGTGGCGCCGTGGTGGGCGACCGCAGATGCAGCACGCCAGAGCAGACTCAAGCCCGGATTTCTCAATGTGGCATCTGTGGCACGAGTTTCGATGACTTTGGTTTCGTAGTTGACTACTTGATCATTGCCTGGGTTCGCAAGGTGCAATGTGTAGTGCCAGATCGAAGCACAGTAAGGCGGGCCCTTGGCCATTTGAGGCTTCTTGGACGGTGATTCGAGACAAACGAGCCTGCCATGGGGCCTGGCCAATAATTCGTCCATTCTCTGAGCCCAGCGGGCACGGCATGAGGGCGGAAGCCAAGTATAGAACTGCGGATAGAAGGTCAATTAGAGGACGGCCATGCAGCATGAAGGGAAGATCTCGTGAGTAGATGACACTAACCTGATCGTCAAAGATGAGATCAAACTTGTCGGTTCCGACGACTTGTAGCCAGTCGTCCTCAAAAAAGTTGCCAATGACAAACTCTATGCGGCCCTCAGCAACATCCGGGATCTCTGATACCATCGCGTTGTGCCAAAAGGTTTGCTCGTGCCTGTTCTGGGCTTGCTCCATCCCTCTGCTTAATCGGCCCAGTCGATGGCAATTGCTCATGGCCTGATAAATGGCGTGCCTTGAGACATCGAGACCAACGACATCGTAGCCAAACAGCAACGCGAGCTGTGCGACGTCATGGCCCAGGCCGTACCCAGGCACGAGGGCGCGCCAACGTTTATCTACTTGCCCGTCATGTGGCCATGTTGATGCGTGGCCCAAGCCGTGGCCGACCCAGCCCGACAATGGCGAGAGTCGTGGCAAGGCGCCTTTGAGAAGCCTGTGGCTCTCGCACAGTAGGTCAAAGAAGCCTGCACTCGGTGAGCAACGATTGAATGGTGCAGCTTGGTCGGTCAGGTAGATGGCCTGCCAGAGGGATGCATGTTGTTCAATTGGATTTCGGTGCAACAGCGCGGCCGGGTCGCTGGTCAAGTCTCCCAAACAGCCCGCGAGGATGCTCACCATCTGAGCATCCCCAGTCCTGAGGGCTTTCTCGAGCGACTCCAGACACTTGGAAAGACCACTGCTGCCCATGATGACTACAGAATATCGGATACAAGGAGAACATACATGCAGAAGCGGACAGGAGTGGCTGCGGGTGACTGTGGTGGTTTGGTCGAGGTAGATTGCATGAGAGAGCCGTGGTCTCAGCCATAACAAAGAGTTCGAGGAAGGAGGCTTGTGATGCTTGCTTGTGATTGACCGTGTTAGCCACTGGCAGTCGAGGCAAGCACTGCTGATCAGAGGCTTCTTGCGTTCTTACAGATGCCAGGTGCAGTCTCTATGGCAAGTAGGATCGTTACTCGGACTCATCCCGCGCGAATCACGCTGGATGAAGCCGAGACTCCAGACGGGGCATCTGAACCAGCATTGAAAGGAAGTCCAGCTCGTGGACAGTGTATTCGATCTAAAGAATGACACTTGCTCTAGCCACCACTTGGGGCTAAATGCAAGGAAAGATGATCTATATATGCTGCTTCAAGGAGTGCCCGCCCCTCTCCGGCGACACCAAGCTGGAGATTCCTGATCATCATCATCGTCATCATCAGCTCTCTCCATCACCTTCGTGCCTTTATCTCTTCAAAAGAAACCGTTTCTGTCACATCCTCGCATTCGTGGGAATATCGTGGTATCGTCAGACAAAAGGAAACCCCAGCCGCACCCAACTCCATGAACGTGCTTTGCCATCCTGGTCTGTTCTTGAAGCTCTGGCGACTCGTTTACTCGTCCTCAAACAGACCACCAAGAACCTTGAGGGCAGTACCGCCGACAGACTCAATGTCGTGCAAGATCTCGGAAGAACGACGGGCAAAGGGAGCATCAACAGTCTCGCTGCGCTTCAGGTCTGAAAGAGCGGAGATGGCAAATGGAGCAATGTCCTCGAGCCCGTGTCCAATTTCGCTCAGAATGCTGGAGCGAGCGGCGAGAGACTCGGTCTCGCTGCGCTTCAGGTCTGAGAGAGCAGAGATGGCAAATGGAGCAATGTCCTCGAGTCCGTGTCCAATTTCGCTCAGGATGCTGGAGCGAGCGGCGTGGGCCTCAGTCTCGCTGCGCTTCAGGTCCTCGAAGGCATCCAGAGCCCAGGGGATTGCCTTCTCTGCGACGCTCTCCACAGTACTGAGGACACCAGACCGCGCAGCGTGAGGCGCAGCAACGGTT